TTGACCGTTGAACTGCTAAACTTGCTGATGGAAAGGTTGGTGGTTCAAATCCTTGGGACAAGGTGAGCTCCCACTGTTAGCCCCAGCTCCTGTCAACCTATCAGTTCGAAAACATGTAAATGTGAGTAGGTCAATAGGTACTGCCTTGGCGGGAAGGTAAACAGGCTGCTAAACTTGCTGACCCAAAGGTTGTTAGTTCAAATCTAGAAAGCAGAGTGAGCTCCCATTGTTAGCCCCAGCTTCTGCCAACCTAGCAGTTCGAAAATATGCAAATGTGAGTAGATCGGTAGGTACCACTTCTGCGGAAAGGTAACAGCGCTCCAAGCAGTCATGCCAGTGTCCACATGACCTTGGAGGTTCTTCTTCTTCTTCTTCTTCTTCTTCTTCTTCTTCTTCTTCTTATTATTATTATTATTATTATTATTATTATTATTATTATTATGGGTCTCCAATTCATGGGGCCATCATAAGTAGTAGCTGACTAGACATCCATTAACAATTGACCAAACCTGAAACTGCAAGGAACAGAAACCAACATGCACACAGCATACGAGACATTTAGGTTTTGTTTTTATTCTGAGGTGAGGACATTTAAAAAGTGATGTAGAGTTAAAATCAAGCATTCTATTATTACCTCCTTCAAACTTGCAAATCAGATGCCTCCAGGTAGGTGGAGGTGGGTTCCACATGCAGCCCCTACCTATGGCTATCCCAAATAAGATGGAATATCTTCAGGGACATCTCATCCCTTGCTTTTCCCTCATCCACAAGAAGATAATGAGCTCTGGGAACATGGAAAGGAAGAGGAGAGACTATCTCCTGGCAGGCATTGAAAAGAGGACTGTGACAGAATGAACTATTTCTCTGGACCAAATGATCGTTAGTTTTGCACCAACATTTAAACAAAGTATTGTCGAAGGCTTTCATGGCTGGAATCACTGGGTTGTTGTAGGTTTTTTCGGGCTATATGTCCATGTTCTAGAGGCATTTTCTCGTGACGTTTCACCTGCATCTATGGCAAGCATCCTCAGAGGTAGTGAGGTCTGTTGGAACTAGGAAAAAGGGTTTATATATCTGTGGAATGAGAAGTCAGCCATAGCAGAGCACCTGATGAACCAGCCTGGACACAGCATATTATTTGAGAACACAGAAATGCTGGATCACACCAACAACCACCATGTCAGACTACACAGAGAAGCCATTGAAATCCACAAGCATGTGGACAATTTCAACAGAAAGGAAGAGACCATGAAAATGAACAAAATCTGGCTACCAGTATTAAAAAACTCTAAAATTACAACAGCAAAACAGCAGAGAGGAAACAACCAGGCACATCTTAACACCTCTCAACAAAGATTTTCCCAGGCTCAGGCAGGCCTTCAAATGCTAATGAAGGTGATCAGCTGAAACATTCACACCTAACTGCAGCAGGGAAGAGCTCCTTGCCCCACCCCAGCCATTCCACAGATATATAAACCCATTGTCCTATTTCCAACAGACCTCACTACCTCTGAGGATGCTTGCCATAGATGCAGGCGAAACGTCAGGAGAAATGCCTCTAGAACATGGCCCTATAGCCCGAAAAAACCCCACAAGAAACTATTTAAACAAAGATGTGATGATATGAAAAATATTCACTCCTTTGTGCAAGAGGTTATTCTATACCCTGTTGAATGACTGAGCACCCTTGCTTCTCAGGACAGGAAAACGATTCAAGCTGGTATAGGGATAACTTTGGCCTTCCTTCCAGACATTTTGGACTTCAACTCCCACCATTCCTAACAGCCTCAGGCCCTTTCCTTTCCCCCTTCAGCTGCTGAAGGAAAAGAGCCTGAGGCTGTTAGGAATGGTGAGAGTTGAAGTCCAAAACACTTGGATGGCGGAAGTTTGCCCATGCCTGTACTATAGCCTTCCCATCCTGTTTGAATAGTTATGGATTCTTGGCAAGCTTTCCAAAGGATCATATCTTATTTAAGAGATGACATGAAATTCTTAAATTAAGGCACGATCCAGGTTAAAGTTTGTATTCCTTAAGCCTGCATACAAAAAGCAGACCAGACAACCTTAGAGGAGCAGATGCTGCGCCCTCTGGTCATGCCACTGCCTTGCGCTCACGGCATTTCTCCACGCAGAAGCATATCAAAATATGAAGCCAAATGCATCATTCTTCCGGCCGTGTGTAGCAACTCTCAAGCCGAACTTCCTGGAGCTGTCGGAAAAGCATCCGTGGGGAGAGGCTTTCTTTGGCACGACGACACCATCGGAAAATGCGCTCTTTTCCGGAGAACACAAACAGACCCACATTTGGACTTGTGTCTGCCTCTTGCTACTGTTGTGCTTCAGAATGCATCAAGAAGGTTCCAAATCTCCTCCAAGGATGCAACTTGAAAAATGACTGACTCTTGACAACTCAGATACATGGGCATGTGGATGTTTATCAAGACCTGCAACCAGTTTGTTACTCGTATGCCTTTACACCAACGTATTAAAGGAAATAAGCTTTGTAGAGCCTCCAAGTCAGGACAGTAGACTGCTTTTCTAAAATATGGGTTTGTGTTAAAAATCTAATTCTTAAGGTAAGGCCAAGAATTTGGGCTTCCTGCTGATTTTGGCGCCGTTAAGAACAATAATAGAATCACAGAATCCTAGAGTTGGAAGAGACCTCATGGGCCATCCAGTCCAACCCCCTGCCAAGAAGCAGGAAAATTGCATTCAAATCATCCCTGACAGATGACCATCCAGCTTCCAAAGAAGGAGCCTCCACCACACTCCGGGGCAGAGAGTTTCACTGCTGAACGACTCTCACAGTCAGGAAGTTCTTCCTCATGTTCAGATGGAATCTCCTTTCTTGTAGTTTGAAGCCATTGTTCCGTGTCCTAGTCTCCTGGGAAGCTGTCTGGAAGCTTCCCAGGACGCTTCCAGACAGCACTAAATCACAAGTTTTAAATCATAGAATCATAGAGTTGAAAGAGACCTTGTGGCCATCCAGTCCAACCCCATTCTGCGAAGAAGCAGGAAAATCGCACTCAAAGCACTCCTGACAGAGGGCCATCCAGCTTCTGTTTAAAAGCCTCTAAAGAAGGCGGCTCCACCACACTCTGGGGCAGAGTGTTCCACTGTTGAACAGCTCTCACAGTCAAAATCAGGGGCAAAAAAGTCCTAGGACTTCAGAAGAAGTCCACATACAGACTTGTTGGTCCTGGGATTTCCACCTCCATTGTCCAGACTTGATGCTTTGTTACGAGATTTAGAGACTACCAAGATGGCTGCCACAGGACTTCCGCTGGAAACTGTGGTTTTTTTGTTTTTTTTTTTAAAACCCCTTAAGATGTGGATATGTGGAGAATCATTGCAGCAAATTGCTGCAAAAGTTCCATTCTTTGTCCTGGCCAGAGAAACTGTGCACTCAACATGTTTCATGACATTTCTGTCACAAAAAAAGTTTTTTCCTGGGTTGTTGTAGGTTTTTTCAGGCTATATGGCCATGGTCTAGAGGCATTTTCTCCTGACATTTTGCCTGCATCTATGGCAAACATCCTCAGAGGTAGTGAGGTCTGTTGGAAGTAGGAAAATGGGTTTATATATCTGTGGAATGACCAGGGTGGGACAAAGGACTTTTTGTCTGCTGGAGCTAGGAGTGAATGTTTCAACTGATCACCTTGATTAGCATTTAATGGCTTGGAAGTGCCTGGGGGGGATCCTTTTGTTGAGAGGTGATTTGATGTGCCCGATTGTTTTTTCCTTCTACTCAAGTGTCACATTCTTTTCAGGAACAAACCAATCAGGAATAAACATCTAAAATCCAGGAACAAACCGAGATAAAAAAATCCAATGATTCCGACTGCAGGGACATACAGACATGTGAAGATTTGCATATTTGGCTCAAACCTGCGATATTCCCGCACCTAGAAATCTCACTTTTTTGCCCTTTGTAGTGATTGCGTCTGCATTTACAGGTGCCTGGCCACCCTCCTGTTTGCTGCCAAAGCTCCTGGGATAAAAGTACCCCCAGAAACAATCCTCAGGGCAGTGATAATACTGTATTTCTGCAAGGCTCTTCTGGAGCACAAAGATGTTTAAATGTTATCGCAGCCTTTTCAAGGCAAAGATTATGAGTTTATGCACTCTCCCTTTCAGGGCCTTCCCTGATGCTGGACATCTGGTCTGGAGTGAAACAGATAAAGCTACTTCTATGCAAACGGCACCATTTTACACCTCTACTAACAGTCGCATGACGTTTTAAAGGCAGGAAAAAGAAGGAAGGAAGTCAGCCTGTGAACTCTTCCAACCTACCAACATTTTTAAGACCAAAGTAAGACCATCCAGATGTTGCTGAACTGAAACTCTGCTGCCAGGTGCTCATGGGAGCTGCAACATCTGGAATCCAAAAAGGTTTGCCAAGAAATTACCCATTTTCTGTCTTTTCATAGAATCATAGAATCCTAGAGTTGGAAGAGACCTCATGGGCCATCCAGTCCAACCCCCTGCCAAGAAGCAGGAATATTGCATTCAAATCACCCCTGACAGATGGCCATCCAGCCTCTGTTTAAAAGCCTCCAAAGAAGGAGCCTCCACCACACTCCGGGGCAGAGAGTTCCACTGCTGAACGGCTCTCAAGTTCTTCCTAATGTTTTAGATGGAATCTTCTTTCTTGTAGTTTGAAGCCATTGTTCCGTGTCTGTCAGTTGTAACGTTGCCTGCTTTATGCACTGGGCAAATTCTTAATCCCCCCCCCCCCCCCCCCCCCCCCCCCCCCCCCCCCAATTTCAGGCAAAGGATGCTCTGGGGGGAAAAAGAAATCAGTGGATTTTACAAGTCTCACCAACTGTCAAGAAGCCAGCTGGGCACGAAGCAGAACCCATTTCCTTTCTGAATGGAAAACAGGAGGGAGGAAAGTCTCCGGCACAAACAAACTGCTACCTTAAATGGCTGCTCTGCAAAGGGAGGTCATAGGAAGCCAAATAGGGAAGCCGCAAAGGAAGTTTCTGGGTTTGCAGATGTATTGTTCACAACACCCGTTTATGTTGTCTGAGCAAGTGAGCCCACTCTGAATGGCATAATTTACAAAGGCATCACTGCAAGAGAGAGAGAAATCCACTTCTTCGCACATTTGGTTTACATTCTCCCCTGCAAAGGAACGGGAAGGTGTTAACTGTTTTCAAAAGGTGCTCGATCCAAGCATTTCCAAGGTTTCTGCCTTTTGTCCAAATGTGATTCAAGAGGTCCGACGCAAGCGTTCCCAGCTGGGCACTCCTGCTTGTGCTTTGGCACGCCTACACACTCACTCACACTCACAGTATTCCAGTACCATCAGGAGGCACAGTTTAATGCAGCTTTAAGCTGGCATCGCTCCTGCAGAGCTTGGAGTATTTATCAACTCAATAGGTCAAAAGTCTGCAGACACTGGGTGGAGCAGCAGTAGGCCACAAAGCTAACAGTTGTCCTCCTGGAATAGGAAAAAGAGAGAGAAAGAGAGAGAGAGAGGAGGGGAGGCAGAGGAGAGAGAGAAGACAGCAGTTGTCAGCTCAAGATTAAAACACTGGCTCTGCTCCACAACACACAACTTTTCTGAAGAGTTAGAAAGCAAACAACTCAGAAGCAGGGAGATTAAGCCCTGGTAAACTAAGTACACAAAATATTTGAGCTCACAAAAATAGCAAGAGGGTTTTTCCCCCCTATGTCGACAAACTTCCTCCCGAAAACCCCTAAATAAATACGACTGGTTCTGGAGATGTAAACGTTTGGGCAGATTCTTTGAATCTTATTCAGAGAAGGATGGCTTTTCAAAAAATGAAACAATCAACGTATTCTTTGCCCACCCCTCTTCCTGTTCATTATGGAACTGGGATCTGTGATGGGATTGAACCAAATGCTGAGGCTAGGCTGCATTCTGTTATTCAGCAGTGGTTCTCAACCTGGGGTCCCCAGATGATTTTGGCCCTCAACTCCCAGAAATCCTAACAGCTGGTAAACTGGCTGGGATTTCTGTGAGTTGTAGAAATACCTGGAGACCCAAAGGTTGAGAACCACTGTGTTATTGGTTCCTTATTCCTGTTCAGCGTTCCTGCTTGCAAGTTCATTCAGGGGAAAATTGCACCTTATGACACAAATAGTATGAACATAGGCACGTTACAGGGCTGCGTGGAAGGTAGATAGCTGCATTAAATCACTACTGACTGAGAGGTCATAAGTTCAAAGCCAGCCCGGGTTGGAGTAAGCTCTCGACTATTAATAGTCTAGCTTGCTGTCTACCTATGCAGCCCGAAAGACAGTTGCATCTGTCAAATAGGAAATTTAGGTACTGCTTTATGTGAGGAGGCTTATTTAACTAATTTACGATGCCATAAAACCTTCCAGCAGCGTGTGTAAGAATGAGGAAGTACTCCATCAAACGACTCGGTGTCACAAGTGGATAGTGAAGCGGCAGCTCCTCCAGTGGCCAGAAACGAGCCAGAATCGAGCATACCCTCATTAAGCCAGAAAGCTGGATGTTAAATGCCCCAGTCTACATATGTTGTATTTTTAAAATGGCATTGAATGTTTGGCATGTATATGTGCATTATAATCCACCCTGAGTTGCCTGCAGGGTGAGAACGGTGGAATATAAATACTGTAAGTAAGTAAGTAAGTAAGTAAGTAAATAAATAAATGTTACCTGGGCCCCTTCGACGCTGACATATGACACAGTTTCAGAATGCAGGTGAACCTCACTGAACTGGATTATATGGCAGTGTAAAGGTTCCCCCTTGACATTAAGTCCAGTCGTGTCCGACTCTGAGACTCTGGTGTTCAACTCAATTTCTATGTTGAAGAGCCAGTGTTGTCCGTAGATGTCTCCAAGGTCATGTGGCCACAGGTATGACTGCGTGGAGCGCTGTTACCTTCCTGCCAAAGCAGTACCTATTGATCTACTCACATTTGCATGTTTTCAAACTGCTAGGTTAGCAGAGGCTGGGACTGACAATGGGAACTCATCCTGTCCCGCAGATTCGAACCTCCGACCTTCCAATCAGCAAGTTCTGCGGCTTAGTGGTTTAA